GATATGTGTCCACGTCGTTACGATGTGTGGGAGACGGCCAAAATTTGCATGAGATTGATCAATTTTCGGTATATATCTTCCACTCCCTGTTGCTGACCCGGGAGAAAAAGAATAGTTAAAGCTAGCTACGGTCGCACCCATATCACTAAAAATTAATATGAGCTGCGAAGGAGTCAGGATCTAAAAGGAAAGATTTGAAAATTAAATTTTGGCCAACTGATAGGAGATGTCTGATGAAAGCGTGATTAAGACTAGACAGAACAGTTCCGCTTGAAGTTTACAATGCTAAATCAACAATCGTATTATTTTTGGGCCTAGTAAAGTTGAACGATGTAAAAAAGTAATTCCTCTGTCTTCGAAAGAATCGGTGTGAGTGACGCTTATTTTTTTTTTTACTTAATGCCTGGCAGATTTATAATTGTAGCAATGTACAGCTCTTCTAGAGTATCATAATAGCTCTGTGCGATAGGTCATATTGGAAAATGCGCTGGCAGGTGATATTTAATTAGCGTAATTTGCAAGCGGCGAGCGGCAAAAAGCCTCGTTGACAGACGTTTCAATTTCTGTGTTAGGGATGCTGCTTTCACGAGCGGTAGTATGGCTATGATGATGCACTGAAGTGTGTACAGGCCCACCAGCTTCATTAGACAGAGAACCTTGTAAATGTTGCCAAAGACAGTTCAGCCCACAACGGTACGTTATTTGAGTAGGCTTCACTGATCGGAATTGTAGCAACACACCGAACGTTAGCTTTTAACAAGGAGTCGCATTCAATTGATTTGATGGATTACAGGCGGGCTGGTATAGCTTTAAAAATTCTGACATCCTAATTTTATATATATGTATATAGAAAAGGTGGAAAAATATTATCTGTCGGGCTTAGCGTTCGCAAATATAACATAACATGTCGAATAGTTTTCGCACGATTACGGTTTCTTGTCTAGATTAATTACTACTACCTTATCTAATATGATACTTTACAGATACCAATATTGTTTACAATTTACTCAGTCGTAGAGAGGAAGTTTAGCATTTTTAAGGAAAAGTTCACCGTAACTCGACGAACACGATTCTAGCACTCGGTGTCCTTTTTATGGAAAAGAGCGACCAGCTAAAATACAGCATCCTGTACATATGTATCCTCCCAAAAAATACATTCCATCCCAACTGTGCCACTAATGTATGAGGTGGCATTTTGCTGGCCTTTAAGTTCGTCGATCATGTCGGGCTATTCCGCTGGAAGCGTATCTAATGCACGTGCAACCGATCAGCAAGACGTGTGTAACATACAGAACTCGTCTACTTCGCTGACTCCCAAAGGAGTTGCGTAGATCGGCAAAGTTTTAAGAGGATTTCTTGCCTTCCGCCTATCTGCAACTAATCAAACATTAATTCGTTTTTCTAAATACGGACGTGCATTTCGTGTAGGCGAATAGTGAAGCATGTAGGTTTGTTATTGATCTTTCAACACGCGCAGTATCTCACCACAAGCATGGGGCAGGTACGAACGTCTAGAACCAGTTGGTAGCTTGATATCCATTAAATATGGGTTCTGAACGATTCTAGACCTGACGATGCTGGTTGCATAACTTCACGAATCGTCTAAGAAGAATCCAGTCATTTAGAAATTTTAGTTTTGAGCCAATGTCTATCAATATGGCCTCCCTGTGATGAGTCAGCGTACATGAGAGCTGTAAGCATCATTCGCGTTATATGTTCGCATCGAAAGTGCAGTAAAACAGTATCAGTAGTAGAAGATTAACTTTTGATCGAGCTAACGGCTTTTAGGTCTTATGTCTGTATTATGTATCATGGCTAAATGTTTCGCTTTCTATTCTGTTCAGACATAAATATCTTTCAAAATAGGGTCTTTTAGAATAATACCGATAAAATGTCAATGCAAAAAATGTCAATATTATTTTGCCGTCAAGCCGAAAGTGCAAAAAGTCAATATTTAATAGACCAATTTTAAAACATCGTTCACCGTTAACATTTACACTGATCGGTTTTCAGGTACCATCAGTTCTCATCGTCGAGTTTGGTTACGCCCCAAATCCTCAAGCAATCCCGGCCGATTTTCGGCTCGCCTCCGGCTGTAAGACTTGCAAGGGAATCCTTACTGGTACACATTCTCATACCGGCTGTCGTGTATGGCATGCCTAACGTACTTATTCTCCAAGCAACCCCCCTTCGCCCATCGCCCAGCACCTGTACGAGGGTCGTACCTGAATGAGACCAGCGATCGGCGAATGATGGCGTGAGTTAGGTGACTGACGATTACCCCAATTGGATGACGCTTCCGAGCAGCAGCAAATCCTCATTCGAGCAATGGATCACCTCAGGCCTACGTGACTCCTAGCCAATCTCACCGCTATGCCGCTTCTACGACTCGAAGGCGGCGACAATAGGACTAGCTATCGGAATAGTAGTTGTCACTTTATCACTCACCATCGGGGCCTATTGCTGTCAACGATCAGTCGGCCCCCTTCCGCTGTTACAATCATCAACACGATCATCATCACGAGTAGTCGGAGGAGGTGATTCTAGTAGGAAACCGGTGTTTCTCTACGGATCTTGTTCTCTCGGCGGTCCCTTAAACTAGCAGTCGCATACGGACCGCGGATCCTCTGCTGATAGGCTTGAGGAGGCTCTGGAGAATGAAGGCGTATCAGCCCACTTTAGTCGTAGCCTTGGTCCGGATAATTTAATCCGCAATTATAGGTCGTGATGTTGGCAACACCAATCATACTCTGTTATGCATTGGAGATGGGACATAACAGAACATATTGGCTATTGCATCGATCCTCGTTATTCTTTAAATTGCAGGATTCATATATCAATATAGTGTCTGGTATGGAGCGACTTCAGTAAAAATCCATTTTATATTTATCTACTTCATGTGTTTGAATTAACTGTACATCTTAATGGATCTCAAATAGACAGTAACCCCGCTTAGAAGTGTTCTTCACTGTTATTTACCGAAGATGGGTTGCTCCTACTACAGGACTATTGACCCCTGTGTTTGCCGCGTTTCGCTTAACCTACGATTGTTTGAATATTTTTATAAAAATTCGATAAACATAAAAAAACAAATTATTATAACTTGTTTTTTTTTAATAAACGAGCCTTGTATTCTATACACTATTTTCCCTAATCTGACTCAATATAACCAAGGAAGGCAGCTAATCACTTTCTTGCATGTTTTGATTTTAGCGGCTGTATAGATCAGATTAGGCGATGCCACGCCTACAGTTGAATGCGAGTCTGCCTGTAAAGCCGGTTGAACACGTTTAGGGCTTTCCCATCAATTAGACACAGGATGGCACATGTGTGTTAATAAATTAAGGCTAATAAGTTTAAAAAAAAGTTCGTATAGACTCGAAACATTAACGATAGCCTGATTTCCTATCAAGGATCGAGGCAGTGCATAGCAGATCGGGCATCTATGGAGATTTGACAATTTTCCCGCGGTATAAGTGGGAGGGATTTCACACGACCCATCACATTGGGTTGCACGCTTAGCTAAGTTCATAGAGCAGTGGCCAATCTGTCAATCGAGTTATGAAGTAGAACAAAGCTTCTGACATGATTATATAGGAAGAAAGACGATTCAGAAGTAAGGTCCCGTGATAGACGTATCGCCATTGGTGCTCCGTTAATCACCCTTTCGCACCACACCTATTATCATCATTACTGATTGTCCGAGTGTTAATATTCGTATTACGTGGACGTTTTTCAGTGACAAACGAAATTTGGGAATGTATTCTTGATACACAGAAGTGGAACATCTGTTAAATGCTATCAATATATGCATTGATCTGCGGTAGCTAAATGAACTATAACTTTCAAGTTTAAATTTTTTCAAATTTCATAGAGATTTTTTTCATAAATATTCTAATAAACCGCACCATATCGTATTGAACCAGTTCGTCTGTTGACGACGAAGGCTTTTGTATTGTCCTAAATAACCTTCCATTGTCCTCTTTCCATATTGCACGCTATAAAAATCTCTCCAGGTAGAATTGGAATCGAGCCAGCCTATATTGATATTTTGTTTTGATTTCGTAGTGTTTCTATCATCAATGACTCAACTTTGTTTACGATTGCCAAAGCCACTTACAATTATATAAATATTGATTTTTAACAAAAACTTCGTGCAATATCACCTCTGCTAAACTCCATTATCCACTTGGTTCGTCAGGCAATTTTAAATAACACGGTTTCTATATCCGGATGATTCCAAAGTGTCAGATTCGTATAACGGTACACCCACAAAGTGGACCGTGAGCAAACCGCATTTCGCAAACACCTCAAAGTTTACGAATCTACTTCCGTAGAACTAAATACTAATGTTTCCTCGCCCGGTTATCCCCTCTGTAACATGTATTTTTCACCTTTTTTTTTTTTTTTAACAGATAGCAATTTAGACCCAACGCCAATTAAATTCAGAATATTTCATTTGATTTTTGTACCGTTTTTTCAGGAAAAATCTCAAAGTTCATCTGTAGGTGTTGTGTGAATGTGTTGATAATCTTATTTTTTTTGCCGCAACGTCTCCAGAGGTGACTGATCGTTATGTGTAGGCATTTTCGGGTCGGAAACAGGCCCCCCGCAGAAACCGATGCACATGAAAAACAAGCCGAAAAAGGTGGACACCACGATGTCTTCAACAGGCACTGAAAGACAGTAGCAGCTGCTTCGAGATGGACATGTGGATGGATCATTGCATGCCGGTACGGAAAAGTGAAGGAGGACACGATGATAATTCAAGGGAAAAACTAAGGAAGACTGCGCACGAGCTCCAGCGAGGCGCACCGCCCTATCCGGTTGGTCCTCCGCCTCGCCCTCGCCCTCGGCAATCGAGTGCCCTCGCCGTTTAAGCTGGGACCCTTTCCCATGTTCCTCGCACGCGACAAGCCCCACAGGAGGCACCGGCTAGTCAGGAGATCCTGCAGAGGAGAAGTGCTCCTGTTCTGTCGACGTCGCGAGAAGATCGGAATTTGGTGCTTGAACACAAAACAACCTGCTAGGTTCCATGACAGTGGACGAATGTCCGCTCGTAGTCAATCAGCTGACATCACTGTCACTGCCGTTGTGCATTTTGAAACAATTTGTGTTTCTATCTTATCAATTAGGTTCAGCATATTCTAGTACTGACCGTATCAGCGGTGTTTGCTCTCGTGAATTTCTAATTTCTCCTAGCCAGTACCTGTCAAATTTCGGCCTGTCATAGTCTGTAGTGTGTATTAGAGAGTAAAAGTCAAAGGAAAACACGACGAGTGGTGGAGAATTTGACACAGTGAAGGACTTTTGCCTTCATGAAGAAACGGTGATTATGCAAGAGAGATGCCAGTGAGGTTTCAACTACTTAAAGTGTCCACAGATAGGTAGAAAGAAAGCGAGAAAGGGATAATAGTTTCAGCCGTACTGCGATTGCTGAACAGCTCGGTGGACTTTGTCAGTGGTCAGTACTGATTTATCAGAGAGTGGAGTTCTAAGGGCGTGTGTATACTTCGAGTGTTGCAGTTATTGATTGACTCGATCCATGATCATGGCGCTTTGTGGAATCTGCAAATGATCGTGAACAAGGTTCGCTTAGGTGACAGGTCATCAAAGTGACGTTTAATTCAGTGTGACAGCATATAGTAGTTACTCAGGATGTTTTCTATAATGAGTGACTTTGTTCTGGCAGCGTACGAAATAATAGTCATGATTTTCGGAGCGAAGTCGACGATGCCATTTCTGTTTCTTATGTTCATACTCGGCCCCTCAGACATCGTCAACGGGCAAGGTAATAAGCTATCATTATTATTTTTCATGATCGGCTTCGACTGCCCCGTAGGGCAGTTTTGAACAAATGCATACAAGCTAGCGCGTGATTTCGCTGTGTAATCACATGAAAAAAAGTCGATCAGAAAATCACGCTGTTGCTCCACTGTATAGGGGGTTATGGTGACGGCTTGGGGGGATATTATAATGCCTTGTTCGAACACGCGCTCCGTAGGCATCTGTTAACACATAAAAGAGTTACACCTTAAAAACTAATCTTTTAACTTAATTACCTGTGAGGATCGTAAGTAAATGCGTTCCTCTGAAGCAGGTTGTGTTGGTGCCCAGTACATTTGCTTGTTTATGCTGATTATTCTCCGGTTTCTGCTAGCTGTTGTAGGAGGAAAAAGGAAAAGAAGAAGCGGGATTTTCAAAGCCTTTGGAAAGTCAGACGAAACAACAGATATAGCACTGCGTAGCTTTATATTGAAACAAAATCCTCAGCTATTTTCTTGCCATTTTAATCAGTAGCTTTAAAACAATGCAGTAATTTACCCCATTGGTAACAAGAACCTTTTCCGAAGCTAGCCCATAGTAACGATAAGAGCGTCGATGTCGTTTCGAAAACCTTGTCATGGTACACTACGTTTGAGATCTAATGTCAACTAAAAACTGTAAATGCATTTCGCTAATTATAATAAGTCAGGCCAATAAGATAGGCCATAAGCAGCCTTGTGGCATATGCAAAGTTAGAGACAATTTTATAGATGTCCATATGCTCAAGACATGCCAGCTACAGTAAATCTGAGAACACAGAAAAAGCGGAAAAGTAAAAAGTCTGGACTGTAATAATTGACGAAAACAAAAATACAATAAGTTAATGATGTCACTTTAAGAAAAATCACTTTTGCTTGATGTTCAACTTTAACAAAACCTCATAAAGTTTATCAGCATTTGAAATATAACATATAACTAATAGTTTGCCACAGATCTTTTTGTGAGGCATCCTCAGTATCAAATAGTGTTACAATATTTGTAAATAGTAAAAAATTAAAGTCAGGTAACGGAATGATATATTTTGTTAGCGTTAACTTGCGTGCACGTAATAACAATGATAACAAAAAATTTACTGTAACTACTGCAGTGAACTAGTTGGATAAGTGGAGCAAAGGCCGGCTGGCCTATGAGAAGCCTCAACTTATTCTATAACAATGCACGTAGACTCTGCACGTAATTTAGATCTAAGTATATCTATTTGCTCTGATTTAAAATGTTGACGTTTGAAAAGGAAATCGCTCCCCATGCTGTGTACAGTACGTATCAGTAATTTAGCGTTTAAACGAAGCTCAGCTATAATGCGCTTCTCATATAAAATCGATCTTGCCCCGAGATAAAGCCGTGCATCGAGTCCAGTTTGCTAGGTCTTAATTAACCGGCCATTAAAATACAGCCGAAAAACTAGATCGGAAAATTTTGAATATCTGTAGTCGTTGTCCTATATGAGGCTTTAATTAATTCCTTTTGTTCCCATTGTATCATCACCCGGTTATTAAGCCAATTAGATGGATTGACTTGGACGGACAACCTAGGATCTACCTGCTATTACGGAAGGAAAAATATTAGAAATTTGTAGTTTGGAACAGAGGCACCGGCGTCCAATCTGGAGATGCAAACTAAAATCATTGCGAGTTACTCTGAGAACGACCCATGTCACACTTTTTTGCATTTGCACTCCACGATTTTAAAGCAACAATAGTTTATTAGAAAATTGCGGCCGGCCAATAACAAAAACAAACGTCTGACTATTACACTGAACGAGGCTAGGAGATCATCCAAGATAGAAACATCTGAACGGGGAAATTACCTGAAATGATACACTGTCAGTTTACCGGCAATATAACTAAGTTCAATATATAATAATTTCTCAGTAGCCATTAGGGTGTGTGTGCAAGCGGTATAGTCATATAGGTATTGTACTTATTATAATATTATCCCATCGAGACTCTTTTACTTAACGTTAAGGAAACTCAAACGAAGCATGAAATGAGCGCCGATTGCAATGACATACGTTTGCGTTAATGTTTCAGACGTTATACCGTTCATATAAAAAAAAAAACATATGAGCTCAAACAGAGCTATGTCCCACACAGAATTTCGTCTCTGAATGGAAAGTCTCATCCGATTCGTCCGACGGCATGGGTTAAGCGATCGCACAGAGAATTTAGAAGGAGTAGATCTACCATTCTACTTTGGCTGGACGTATAAGAAATTTATTTATAAACAAATGATTATTAAACTTATATCTTAAATATACTACTGTTTTATTGCTCATATCACAAAATATTTGGGAAAGATTATAGAGTAGTGTCGAATATAAACCGAGTATCAATGGAAGTGTTTTAACGTTCGGGCGAAGTATATCGGTTCAATTCGAAGTAACAAAATACTTAAGACCATATGTTTTCTGACTGAGCGCTCAGACCGGGCTTTTACAGAGTATAGAACTAAATATCAATGTCTGGCTGGCATTATTTAAACGATTCAGGTATATTCTGTTACTGATTTCAGATGGCAAACTAAGCATTGGACGTGTAAAGTGACGCTTAATGTCTGTTTGCTAATGTCTGCCTGCCATAAATAGGAAAAGGACATAATGATCCTAACAGGCTTAAGACGTGGTAAAAATGCAATAGGCATTTCTGTAAGATTTAAAATTGTTGTTTTTTTACATTTTACCTTGGTATATCACTGTTGTCTTTGATCAGTGACTAATAAACAAGCTGTAAGTTCTATATTCAATTGGCCTTTCATTCACATTAGACTTTTACATTTCGTTTTGCTATGTACATGCATATGTGCGTGCGCACCAGCTCTTTATGCCCAGTTTTATCAACCGATTGGTAGGTTTGGACCTCGCCGGGCTCAAATCGGGTCTTCTCATTTCACTGCTGAGCTGCTTTTCGTCGAGCAAACGCGCCGTTCCTATTTCCCAGACTAATAAAAAAAATATGGTAAAAGACAACCCTGCTTCTGGGCGACCAGTTTTCGTGTAAATTAGGATAATTTAAATTTAATCATTATTCTTCTATATATATATATATAGAATACAATTGTGCTATGCAATACGGTCGACAATTGTTTCGCTCTATAGTAAATCTGCTAGAATTGCTTGCACCATAGCGGCTTAACTACAAGCACTTTCAAATCGTGGATCTTTCTCGTGCTCGGGATTAGCAACAGCTGACAACTATAGTTGTTTAGCTGTTTCAAATGGATCCCTGCTGCTGTAAAAAATTTCTGTAGAAATAGGCGCATGACCTTCAACCATCCTACTGCCCTCGTACAGTTGTTACAAATAAACAAATAGCCGATTTCTTTAAAAAGGGCATCTAATATGAGCACCAGTCCTTCTTGGGTGGTATCGTTTGCATGCTGCCTAATTGCTGGGCTGGGAAGAATTCATTCCTATCATTGGCTGATATATGCTATTATACGATCTGGCCTTCTGACATTACTACAAAGAGCCTCTTCGCACAGATAGAAACGTCCGAAGATTAAAACGCGGTTCGCTTGAAAACATAGGTCATTATTTGTCCGGGTCCATCAGTGCCTAGCGTTGCACGCAATGGATTGTGATTACGTTAGCTTTGTCAGGTAAGATAGACAAAACGTTTGAAAGCCTCGTATTGATAAGATCGAGCATACTTTCATTAGTACAATAACAAGTTGGCGAAATATAACATCGTTAACAATTAGCCAGATTTAAAACGTGGCTGCGGTTTTGTTAATTACAGCGGGGTTGCCAAGTTAGGTGGATGTTGAGCATTTGTATTTTAACGACCTAAACAGGGAGATGTCGAAGATTCTACATGTGTTCCTGTTTTTGTCGGTGAGATGAATTCTCGCCAATAAGCCCTGCTATGAGCAACCTATACAAAATCTGTTAAACCACAGTATTGTTATCTCAGTCCATCCATATCTCATATCTCAATTAGGTTGGCAATAGGTTTTGCCTCCTACTGAACTGATTAACGTTTCGACGAGAAGATAGCTTGATGACGGGAGGGACTACTACCTTGACAAGGTTGACCCTTGAAAGCCGTTTATAGCAAGTTCGCCCAGTCCAGCTGATAGATGGCAGCACCGTCGGCGAGAGGGCCCGCCTCCGGGGAGAGGGAATAGGCCCTTGAAAGGCCACAAAGGCCCTCAGTTACAACCGACAGCCATAGGGAGAACACGTCGCTGCTCCGCTGCTTAGGGAACATTAAGGACTATTCGATGGACTGAGAACAGTAGCAGATTAGTCACTTTGGAGTAGTCTACTAGCAACTTAACTTATAAAAGGTAACGTCGAAAGTGTCCTTCTCAAGAAAAGTGAGTCAGTTCTTCAGGGATGGACGGGGTTTGCATCTAAACGGCTATAACAGTGGACGGGCAGCAGGTTGCTTCTTCAGTTTATGCGACGGCCAGAGGACTCCCTTCTTTGTTATGACATGCAAGTGCGCCAGCTTAATATGGTCGTCTTATCTAGGAGTGTAAAGTAAATAGTATGTTTTACAAGAACTGTTGTGATTACGAGCAATATACAAAGGCCTAGTGTGCGAACGACGCAAAGACAAACGTATGGTTCTATTCGAATGGATTATACGAGTTATCATTGTATCTTGTATTTATTGAATAAAGAAGGATTAGTATATATGTTTCGTATGTACAAGGCATCGGAAAAGTCGCGCGCTCCTATGACGCTCAAAAATGTCAAGCAGCGCCATAGAGATACTATATCGAATAGTCGAAAGAAAACGCAAACCTCGTCGTGAATAGTGCTACTCTGCAAAATGTTAGACCTGCCCACTTTGACTACTCATTTGTGTAGAAATGGATTGAGAAAACGATGTAAATTGTACTAGAAGATAAAGTCGAGCTAAAGCTACAAAATTTGCTCTGGACAATATTAAGCTTTTATCATTTCGATACGCTTTAGGTGTAGGATATTAGACGCGTCTGAACTTCAATGTAGGGCTC